GACTGGGGGGTGGGTTTTGGTGGAGCCGGGGTTCACCGGGCGCCCACTCTCCTCCCCAGGAGTGTCCCAGCGGCCTCGTGGACGAGGAGACCTTCAAGCTCATCTACTCGCAGTTCTTCCCCCAAGGCGGTGAGTCAGGGAGACCCCCAAAACCAGCGGGGGGTGCTGGGCGGGGGGGCTGCCTCTGGAGAAAAACACCACATCCCGCTCCTGGCGCATGCCGGGGTGGGGGCTTCACCATCTCTCCTCTTCCTCCCCTCGCAGATGCCAGCACCTACGCGCACTTCTTGTTCGACGCCTTCGACGCCGACCGCAACGGGGCTCTCTGCTTCCAGGTGAGTGTCCCGGGAGTGCTTCCGTGCCCGGTTTCTCACTGGGAAAAGCCGTTGCCAGCGCCGCGCTCCTCGAGCCGCGGCCGGCTGTCAGCGTGCCCGGAGGCGTGATTCATCAGATCTTCCTCCTCGTTCGCATGCGGTCGGGGATAAAAGCTCAGCGCAGTGGCGACGGCCAAATTCTTCCATCTCCTCGATGGTGGGAGCCTGTGCCGGGAGAGTTCCAGGCACTGCGGCAGGGGTGGCTGGTTGAAGGGGGGGGGCACCGGTGCTGATTTTACCATCACAATTAAAAATAGCTATGAGCGAGAATAGAAATGGGATCGATTGGGAAAAAATCCCCCGGGGCATCCTGCGATCGATGGCAGCACCGCGGCACTATTGGAGGGGGGCGAATGGCTGAGCTGGGGGAGGACAAGGGTCTGTCCCCGGGGTCTGGGTGAGCTGACAGTGCCGGTGGGATGTCCCTGCTCATGGGCACGGTTCCGCCGGCAGGATTTTGTCATTGGCCTCTCCGTCTTGCTGCGGGGGACAGTGCACCAGAAGCTGAAGTGGGCTTTCAACCTCTACGATATTAATAAAGACGGCTACATCACCAAGGAGGTGACACCAGGGGGGACAGGGACAAGGACTGGAGGGGGCTGGGCAGGGTGGGAGCATGGTGGGGGACACCCAGAGGGATGGGGATGGTGGAAAGAGGTGCTGGGGGACAAAGGCGCCCTCCTTTGGAGGGTTCTGTCAACCTGACCCACATCTGTCCCCTCCTAGGAAATGCTGGAGATCATGAAGTCCATCTACGACATGATGGGGCGCTGCACCCACCCCACCCTGAGGGACAGCGCGCCCGCCGAGCACGTGGAGCTGTTCTTCCAGGTGAGACCGTCCCCCTTTGTACCCTCCTGGCGGCCACCAAACCCCCCCACGTGTGACAGGCTGGGGTTGTCACCACCGCTGGGGACAGGGACGTCCCTGCTGAGCCCCTGCTGTTCCCTTGCAGAAGATGGACAGGAATGGTGACGGCGTGGTGACCTTCGAGGAGTTTCTGGAGACGTGCCAGAAGGTGAGGAACTCCGGGTGGGCTTTGGCATTGGCACCATCCTCCTCCTCCTCACTGCCAGGCCTGCGACTCTGAGACACAACCTCGTTCCCTGTCCTGTCCCAAAATGACGTGCTGGGGAGGGTTGGGAAAGATGGGGAACAGCTCTGGTCACCCCGGGGCCGATGGGAGGAGGGGACCGTGGGCTCTGACCTCTCCCTCCCACCCATCCAGGACGAAGACATCATGAGCTCCATGCAGATCTTCGAGAACGCAATCTAGAACCCGGGACCGCCCGCTCGGCCCTGCCAGTGCCTCTCTGAGCAGCCGAGGGGAACTTTTTTCTACTATTTCAGACAAAACAAAAGGATAAAAGAAAGAAAATAATCCACCTGGCTCCCGGCACTCCAGTTAAAAGAGGCGAGAAGATATATGGACGACTTTGCCAGCTCGTCTGCCTGAGCCCTCCCTGACACAGCACCTGGCAATGCCCGCCCGACAGCCAGACCCATTCTGGGGGGCAGAGCCCCACCTCAAAGAGGTTCCCTCTGCCCCGGGTGGTGCAGGAGACCTTGCCGCAGCACAAACCCTGCCCACGGGACGCGAGCCGTCGGGGAGGGACCCTCGAGGAGGGGGTTTCTGTATCACAGCCCTGACACGGCAGCTCCTGAAGGCCGACTGAAAGCACATGAACCTCCTCTCCCTGCCCGCCCCGCGCTGGAGGGGACCCACATCGAGAAGCCACTCCCCACCTTCCAGCGGTGCAAGGAGAGAGGGTTTATTTTCTAAATAAAACAAATGGCTATGATTTAGGGATGAAACACGCCACCTGGGGAGCCAAGGGGAAACAGTGGTCACACACAGCCTAGCGGGGGGGTGGAGAGGGTGACCCCAAGTCCTGGGGTAGCGGCAGCAGAGGCAGCTTCACCCACAAGAGTGGCGGGGTGCGGCCGGGAGGGTTATTTGGGTTATTTCTGCTTTTTTTTTTCCTCACAAATGGGCCAGCGAGGCCAGGCTGCGCCTCAGCCAGGCCACACCTCGGCCAGGCCTAGGCCCCGGCCCCCTCCTCCACAGCCGCCTGTTGCTTGCTCACTCACTGCGTGTTTCCATGAAATAAAGGTGAGAAACACCC